ATATATATATATATATATATATATATATATATATATATATATATATATATATATATATATATATGAAGCCAAATGCGAACAATTGTCGGAGAATGAACAACTTGAATATTTTCCTAGTCATCCTTCACCTATTGATTAGATAGGTTTGTTACCATTTTCCCCTCCCACCCCTTTATGCGAAAAGTTCTCACTTAATAGCTGCATAAGCCGCACCAAAACTTTAAGAATGGGAGGAAGAAACCAGTGGACACAGTGAATTTGGAAAATTATACAGCGGTGGTGGAGTTTGAACATACGAATCTAATAAAGAGAATGGTAACCCTCGTTACTGATTGGTTCGACCAGTTAGGATGATTCGTGCTAATACAATAGGATAGATGCCTACCGGGCTTTGTTTTCAATCTGGTTATGAGATGTTGCGTAATTCACCAGAATAGCTTCTTCCACAAATATAGATAAACTGGTGAATATCAAATATCCATTGAAAGTTCCGTTTGTCTCCAAAAAGAAGTCGGTATTTAAGTATTTATAATTCGAGTTTGATGTACACGTTCCCCGTGTTCAGCTCCTCGCACTCGTTCAACGTGATTGTGTTAGAAAACACACTTAACTAGTCCCATCGGTTTGCGGTTATATGGGTCTCTCATTAAGGATTTGTTCACTCCATCTCCAGGTACTTGTTAAACGTATCACAGTTCTGCAGGCATCTTTGTCACGTGCACGTTGACCAATGCATCTCCCAATATGTTCGGGAGATAAATATGCCGTTCATTTACCATGTACTTCCTTGTTTTCTGTCAATCAACATCAGCCACCGAAATGCCTCCATTTGAGACATATTAATTGTCTACCGTGGACCAAAGCCTTGATAAACGAAGCAGTTCGTCTCAGTGCCCCTGGTTTTCCAATTGGAGCCCTACGGGAAGCCTATCGAGATGGGCAAATATTAGATTTCGATTATGCCGAAGGTGAACTTGTTCTGCTCAACCAGTTGGTCTACTTTAACGACCGACAACTGTGGGAAGAGGACAGGCAATCACCAAATGGGGATGTGTGCGGGCACAACGTCGTGAGCAACAAAACTACTGATTCCACTCACTTGCATCGAACCGAATCTTATTTGCCCGGCCTTCCGTTCAATCCATATCGATTTTTACGGAAGGTTGACTCATCACAGCTGGACAAGGATGTGCATCTGGAATTACCCGTACACTGGGCTCGGCATATGCTTGTTGGCTACACCGTTTGCGTGCCAAATGATTGTGTTTATCGCCTCCTCACGGCCATACTGACGCACCTGTTCGGAACGGGATTACGTGTTAGCGTGAAGAACGACGAATCGAACACCCCTCCTGTCTGTGACGGCCATTCGCTTCGAATTCCGCGAATCTTGCCATCACTGTCTTGGGTTTACACATCCGAGTAATCGTGGTTGCCCTTATTGTGTTCATTTCCCTACAATTGTGCATTTCATTGATCTCGCATTTATTAGTGTTTTCATGTATTCCAACCCAACCCAACCTGAATTGACTTGAGTCTTCCAATCCAATTGACTTTAATTTCCTTGTTTATTCCAAATAATTACACGTCACACTTTCGTATGGATAACACTGAGACTTCTCGTGTGCTCATTTGGACGAGACTAGGTCTGTCGGTTCCAAGTTCTAGGACAATAGCTGGATGTTTCGATGTAGAATTTTAGCTCAAAACCCAAAATATAAGTCATTGATTGTTACAGTACAGCAGGGCGTATGCTCGGCTTCATGATATTGAAAGAAAACCTGAGGAATCAATTGTAACATGCTGCACGTTTCTGATCATTTCTACGTCTCACTGTACCTCACTTTATGTTAGGAGCTTCTGACTACATGTTATTATGTACTCATCTTTCACACTACCACTGGTCAGCTCAATGTTCACAGGTCAGGTGACATACACCAAGCTGTCTGTTGGCTTCAAACTATACAGCGATCAGTCTGAACTCCTACGTTGAACCCAGGAGACGATATATTTTGCATCACGGGGACTCAATACACAAACTCAATCAGACTGCTATCACTGAAGTTCTGTGTTAGCAACTGCTCTGTGCTTCATTTCAGCACCCAACCTGCCCCATATTATAACATCAAGAGGGAACAATTAGGAATTTCAATGGTATGAGAAAGAAAGAACTTCGAAATGTGGCGCTATCCGGTTAAAAACGGGCATATTTCAAGCTAGTTGGCAATCGAATGGACAACGGTGAAGAACGCACGGAGATTTCTACGGTGAAAAATAATCTAATCACCGGTCAGAAGGGATCACTCTGCAGCAGTCAAGCATGTACGCAAGTTCGGGGATAGAAACCTAGGCAGTAGACGAATAAAACAAGTGAGAGTAACGGTCCACAGGGGGCCATTGATCATAGTGAAATGAGAGTTATTAGAATTGTGTGTGAGCAAGGTTTCGAAGAAACAATTGACAGGTGGGATTTAGCAAACAATGTTTTCGACCTAATTACTGGATTGTCATGTAATTTCGTAGTCTCAGTCGTTTGACTCGTTCAGTACAAGTTTCAGTTTTTACAGCCATTAACCGTGCACTTTCGTGCGCCGGTTTTGGTTGCCCATCTGGATAAAAGAGCAAAATGTAGATTGGAATGTCGAAGCGAATTCAAGCGGAAGGAGGGGAATTCATATAGAGTGGTGTTAGGAGAATAACGAGTGGATGCACGAGTGCCACTGTTTGCGACACCCAGCCGTATCACTCCGTGTAGCTAACCATCGGTGACCATCATCCTGAGGTCCCAGCCAGGGAGCCTAATAGGGCTAGAGACCGGGATCACAGGATTGACTTCGATCTGAACGCCTAAACCTCTGTCTTTCTATCACCAGTGTATGTGAATCCAGTCATTTCATAAAAATTATAGGTTTGGTCCATCGTGCAGCGAGATGCAATGAAGTGATATTCACCGATCGCTGTCAATCTCACAATGTAAAGGAAAGTGAGGAAGTCCAACATGGATAGGGTATGTGCCTTATTGGACGGGGGCAAAGAAAGTGAACATGTACGGTCATCACACAGAGCAAATAATCCAACTGTGCACAATTACCTTTTCAAAAAATGACACCAAGAACGCCACCACTTGCGCTGTCTCTTGGACTCTATTCTTAAAGACGCGTAAAACTTGATCTGCCTAATCGTTGTACATTTCGTCATGTTTCCTTTCCACCTCACCTGTTGATCGCCCTTGATATCCTTCCAAACTAGAGCCGCAACAGCAATTTGGGGGAAGGAAAAAGCAGGTGATAAAACCAATGGCGATGCTACTGACTGTTGTATCCCAATAGTCAATAGGTACATAAACATTTGATTAAGTAGTTATTCTATTTCCAGTATTTAAATGCAAACGTGGCCGTCCGTAAGCCGGTGAGCAAGCAGTGCGTCAACACGCAGGCGGGCACAAACTGGTGCAAGTGTTACCAAAAGGAGTCTGTCATCACGTTGGGCAGTCAACGAGCCAATCAATGCGGAGTGTTCGATACCGTCCTCTGATTCGCTGAGGCGGATCAACCTTGTAACAGAGTAAGTCCGCACGAGGTGCCTACGTGCGTGTAGTGGCGGGCCGCAATGGTGAATCACGTGATGAGCACATCACTCGACTACAGGCGACAACAGTGACCAAGCCAGTCTTTCTGTTGCTTAGCTTTATCCTTTGGCCCCGATTCAAAAAGGCGATCTAGCAAATCCGCAGTACTAATCAACGTCATCATCATCGTGCGGGGTGAACTTTCGAAACGATTTGCACCATTCCCAGGGGATACATGTACAAAGACACCTGTTTGTTTATAACCAAAGTGAAAGTAACTGGCATTTCAAACTTGGAAAATCCATAACACGTACAGGTAGTATAATCCAAAAGCCGGGCTAGTTCTGCATGAAGCGGAAACTCTGCGGTCCCCCTTGCATTTTAACTCACCTTTACCTTTTGAACTGGCCTTTCTAATATTACCGTCTTCGTCCCCCGTTTACTATCTCACTGACTGTAATACGCAGCTGTAGTGAAGTGATCGTGGGTGCATTGGGCAAACCCGCGTTTCTAACCTATCTATTCATATTCGCGACGGTGAAACTGTTTCTCATTTGTTTTATCCCTTCGACCGCTTACTTGAAAGTTGCTCTATTTGTCACAATAAATTTGGGAGCAAACGCCAAATGTGAACGCAAATATAGTTCGNACAGCGTCCAGGTAACCAATCAAGAAACGGATTAACCGACCAATCCTGTGTCCTCAATTAACACCAGCCGGATTGACTAAATGCTAGAGGGAAAGCAAATAAACCATATCATTGTCGATTGGACATTGAAGAATCGACCAATGATTGTTTGTTGCTTGTGATATATATTTGCATGATTTTCTGAATAGAGTCAAGTGTATCCATAGCTCGCCTTGGTTCTACCTGTATTTGCGCATGCGTGGGTTCGAATTCCACCGAAACGTCTGAACTTTTCACAATCGCCATACAAAAGGCAGGTGCGTCATGCAGTAGCCCAACATAACAAGGTGTGGCTTGAGAAAGCGATAAACAAGTTTGAAGCCGTTACGTCATTCACTGGGCAGAAAGAAGAGATTTGGATCATCGATTACGTAACATGTTAAAACAGAAAGACTGCGTCAATCCGGGGCACGCACTTCAGGTCATTTACAACACAACACAAAGTTGCTCAAGTTTACCAAGGCCCTGACCATTTCTATATTATGGTAAGCATAATTCCCAGAATATTTGCTTCATCTTCTTACTTTTAGATACCGACCAACCGCTCATTCGGCACATATTTTTCTTCATAGCTGCCGTGAAATCCGTCCTTCCATTTGTCGCCATAAAATGAACGTTATCCAACAGATTAAATGGCTGTGCCGTCTTCGTATTGAAGTGACTAATGAGTGGAACACCGAACGAAAATAAGTTTCTTCGTCAACTCCTTTTTC